TTATCGACAGGATAAACTTCGCTTTTTCTCAGGTTACGGAACTGCCTGGTGCAGTCCCTTATTACTAGGACCTATTCCCTTCTTAATTTATATAGATGACCTTCATCAACAAGTAACGTTTGATTTATGGTTTTACGCTGACGATTCGAAACTCTGGAGAGAAGTTTGTAACCAAGACGATAAGCTGGCACTTTGGGAGGATCTAACAAGACTTCAAAGTTTAGCGGAAAACAATAAACTTAGCTTCAACACTTCAAAGCGTAAAGTGGTCCAACTGAGACCTGTTGCAGAGTATGCGTATGACTAAAGTGATTTCGCTTTAAAGGTATCTCAAGTTTTAAAAATTCTAGGAGTCTTCAGACATACACACCTGTTACTGTTACTGTTACACCCAGTGAAGCATAGGCCGCCGACCAGCATTCTCATATCCACTCGGTCCTGCACCTTCGTTTCTAATTCTATCCAATTGTTGTTTAGTCTTTTCATGTCTGTCTCCATTTCTCAGCCTGATGTGTTCCTTGGTCTTCCTCTTCTCCTTTGGCCTTGAGGATTCCATGTGAGGGCTTGCCTCGTGACGTACTGGGTTGCTTTCCTCAATGTGTACCCTATTTACTTCCAGCGCTTCTTCCTGATTTCTTTCTCCGCTGGAATCGGGATTGTTCTCTCTCACAGTAGATTGTTGCTGATAATATCTGACCAACAGATCCGAAGCGTTTTGCCTAAACAACTGTTAATAAACACTTGTATCTTCTGGATGATGGCATTCGTAGTTCTCCAAGTTCCCGCCCCATACAGCAGAACTGTCTTGATAATTGTATTGAAAATTCACACTATGGTGTTGTTTGACAGTTGCTTTGAGTTCCAGATATTCTTCAGTTTTAGAAATGCTGATATTGCTTTTCCGATCTACGCCTTCACATTTGCATCAGATCCACCGTGTTCATCAATGACGCTGCCCAGATATGTAAAGGATTTTACATCTTGCAAATCTTCTCCGTCAAGTGTGATTCGATTGTTATATGCTGTGTTGTATCGGAGAATCTTGCTTTTCCCCTTGTGTATGTTGAGATCTACTGATGATGAGGCTGCTGCTACAATGGTCGTTTTCTCCTGTAGTTGTTTTTGCATGTACAATAGAAGAGTTCGATCATCTGTGAAGTGTAGAACGTCCAGCTTCACCCTACCTGTTCACTCCAACCCGTACTTCCCCCCAGATGTTGACTTCTTCATGATCCAGTCGATCACCAGGAGAAAGAAAAAGGGTGAGAGTAAGGAAAATTGTTTGACATCGGTCTTTACTCCGAACGAGTCTGTGAGCTGTCCTCCATGTGCAATTTGCAATTTAATCCATCATAGGAATTCCGTATGATGTTGACTATCTTTTCAGGCACGTCATAGTGTCGAAGAAGCCTTCATGATGTTGTTCTGTCCACACTGTCAAATGCTTTTTCGTAGTCAATGAAGTTTATGTAGAGTGATGAATTTTTCGTGCCTCTAGGTAACCCTCGTGCTACTGATAGAATATTTAAGAAACCCGACAAGTAGTGAATAGGCCTTTATTTCAATCTTCGCGCAGTCACAGTGGAGCGTGGGGTTATTTAATTGGACAACCAAAGCCTCTCAACATTCAATATAAGATAATAGGAAATATAACGCTTATACAAAATAAGGAAGTGAGTAAATACTTGAACTATACTGCTTTGGTATATGCTTGGTTGTTTGAGGTCAACTCTTAACCAACCAACCTAAGCTGTCGCAAATTCCATTCAATTGATTGTTCAACAATGATCAGTAGTGTTACGATTTGATTGGTACACGACCGATCCTTACGGAATCCAGCCTGCTGGTATCGAAGTTGGGTGTCTACGAAGTTCTTCATTCTCTTTACCAATACCTTGATGAAGACTTTTCCCGGTATTGAGAGAAGAGTGATGCCACTGTAGTTATCACAGTTGCTGAGATCGCCTTTCTTCGGTATTTTGATCAGAAGTCCTTTTTCCCAGTCTCTTGGTACTTGTTCTTCATCCCCAATCTTCATTGAAGAGAAAGTGGAGTATCTTTGCAGAGGCATTTACAACTGCCTTCAACGCCTCTTCCTGAGTGTTGTCCGATCCCTCTACTTTGCCACTTTTGATTTTTTCGATGGCCATGATGATCTCTTCAATTGTTGGTAGGTTAACGTTGATTCGGAGGTCCGTGACTGCCGTTTCGATGTTGAGTGTGTCCAGTGGAGCTGGTTGATTCAAGAGTTCCTTAAAGTTCTCTACACGCCTTTTTGATTTACGGTAATTTCCAGCGACCTTCGTTGTATCACACAACTGTCCCATGGTCTCTTCGTTAGCAGTCGTTTCCGCCATCATTGCTAGATCCTCTACATTTTTACGTCTGTTGGTTCTGATGCTCCTCTTCATCTGATTGTCTGCCTCTGTATATTCAGCCTGTCTTGGCTTTCTCTGCTCTTATTCGGCTGATACTGATTGCTGCATTCTTGTTCCTCCTTTCATAAATCTTACGCATTGTATCAATAGTGATCCATTGCTTGCGATAGTGCTTCTTGTGGCCCAGAGCCTCATGGCACGTAAAATGTGATTACCTCTCTCACCCCTATGGAGTTCTCATTCACGGTAGTTTCATCTCCTCCGAGTAGATCGTGGAAGACCTAGAACCTATTGCTGAGGGCTATCTTGAATTTGCTCGGTTTGTCTGTATCCCGAAGAAAAGGCGTATTAAAAATTACTGATGTTGTCCAGTGCTTCTGGAGTTTCGGTTTCGACTTGTTGACCAGCAAGTGATTATCTGAGGCTATATCAGCTCCTATCCTGGTTTTCACATCCTCATTCGTTCTCCTGAACTTTTTGTCGATGCAGGTATGATTGATTCGGTTCTGTGTAGTGTGATTCGGTGTAAGTCATGTGGCTTTGTGTATGCGTTTATGTGGGCATATGGTGCCACCTATGACCAGTTTACTGAAGGCACAGGGGTTTCGTTCCTCTCTCCTAGTTCATGTTGTTCGATGATGTCTTCATGTCCAGTGTTGTCCGTCCGAGCCTTGGCATTTCGGTCTCCCATCAGAATGGCCAAGTCCTTTGTTGTGCATTTCTCCACGATGGACTGCAGCCTATCGCAGAACTGATCTTTAACATCTTCATTGTAGTCGTTGGTAGGCGCATAGCATTGCATGAAATTCATTGTCTTGAAGGAGGCTTTGATGATCATTGGTCCGTGAGATTCCTATCCTATAAGTACCTTCCGTGCTTGTTTGGATAGCATCAGTGCAACTCCTTGTCTGTGTGGAGCATTCTCTTCTTCATGGTCGGAGTATAAGAGCAGTGCTCCTGAAGTTAGTCTTTGTTGTCCAACCTGCGTCCAATGTGTTTCACTGATTCGAAGCACTTCCAGGTTGTACCTTTTCATTTCCGGTCTCCCACATTGTACGAATATTCCATGGACCTAAGTTAGTGGTTGCTCTGGTTGTTAGAAGGGCCATCAAATTCGTAAGTTCTGAAGGAACTCGTCTTTCACCATGAGGCGTCATAACTCTTCTAAATGAAGACCTTCCAGGGCAGAGTTTAAATGATTTGAATTATTTTTTCTGGTTAGCGTTTTTTTAGCGAGTTAGATTTTTACGTGATTGTGCCGCTAACCTCATGCCCAACTCTCTTCTTTTTTCCGGGCTTGGGACTGGCAGAAGTCGTAGAGGGACTTTAGGGGGATTTCGGAGACTTATGACGCTATGATCTAGTTTTACGCTAACTTCAGCGAAAATTTCTTTCGAGCAGTCCAAGCAATGGTGACGCCGAAAGGTATTTTTGGATAGTTCAGCAGTAGAACTTTCTATTTAATCTTCGACAGTTTTATTTGATATTAGAGTGTGGAAATATCATGTTTCTCCCCTCACTCCAAAAGGTAAGAATACGCTAAGACGTATCGAAAGGCGAACTACGAAATCAGTTCTGATACTCAAATTCAAACCATACGAAGAACGCATCAAATCGCTGAATCTCCACCCAATAGATCGTAGGTGCCCTAAAGGTGACCTAATGACATGAGCTGAAATGCGAGAGGGAAAAGAGGTTTAATCGAAAATAATTTAGGTGGTTTTCAGTCACGATGACGATATAATATTACAATGGGTGAGAAACAGATCAGAAAATACTAAAACAGTATCACATTATGTAAACGTTAGAATTCAAAAAGGATATCGAATGCCCCAATTAGGAAGATACAGTCTACGCATTGGTGTACCAGATCATGTCGGGTTCACCCCTGAAGTCGCTGGAAGTATTCGGGGTTTGACAACGCCTTTACCAGTAACAGGTTTATATTGGAAGAATGCCAACCCACTCAGATCAGAAGACAGATATGAGGGAGTTCGAACTTATATTTTAGAGGCTACTGGTATGCCGAGGAATGTTTGGCTTAAGCTGGCTAATAGTTGAAAGGGACATGTAGCACGACATATCCACTGGTGACTTGGGGCGGATGCGTGACCGAGAGCTATCAGCTAGGTGAGTCCATTCAAACTAATGAGGTCAGCATCAAATTTCGAAGGCTCACAGAGCTACTGATTTTGGAGATTTATTTACCGCTACCAGTGCCAAATTGTGATTAGATGTTGGTTGGAGGTAGTCAACAGGGTTTCCTGTTGACTACCTCCAACCAACATCTAATCTCAATACATAGTGCCCGCAGTGTCGAGTCACCTAGATTGGTGGCCACATTGCAACATGATCGATAGCATTCGATCTGCACTAATAAGGACTAGACAAGCATGAGATTGATCACCACCCAGTGATCAATCAATTGTGAGTACCAAATTGTATAAGTTCATGAATGATTTAATTTATTTCGTGTTTTTGCTGTTAGGAACATCAACACTTTCTATAGAAGTGAGCTTTGACCGTTGTTATGCAGAGTTATTGTGGTCATAGACATGTGAATTTAACTCGTTCTGCTGATACAAGTGTGAGTTGTTTAAATGACTAGCATTTAAAATGTATTGGGTGAAGCGGTATGTTTATCTCTGGTTGTAGATTATTATTCTATTCTCATTGAGCCATCGACTCACGCTTTCTCGTATCTTTTCTATTCCAGATTCTTATATGGTGCTGTCCATCATATTCCAACACATAACATACTTCCAAGCTGGACGTAAACTTATCGAAGGCTCAAGGTTTGTTTGGTGCTTATGTCACTGGTTAATGTACATTTAGACTTACTTTATCATTACGGTTTGTTGGTTTCATAATTGTTGTCGTTTAGTTGTAACGGATGGGATATAGCTCTCACCCGCTCAATGTCATGTGATCCACTCAGTAGTTTGCGTCTACTACTAGTAGTAATAGCTATTACTAGTATTCATTTATGAACAGGACTAAACAGTGTCAACTGTAAAGTGAAAGTAAATAATCAAGCTGAAAGAAAAAAGGGATAGATTATTGTAAACGAGTGTACCGTCTCGATTTTGGGGATTGTTTTCCTCACGCCCATAGACTCATTGATTTGAATAACTATCGTCATAAGACCAAGCTTCCGTGTAAGACCTTGCTTTTCTCTGTTGTATTGTTAGCTAACTGAGATGCGTGTAATTGCTCGTCAGAATTCACTGGTTACGGTACACCATACTATTAAACTTAAAAGATTTATCAGCCGCTGTGGAAACTACCTAGTCACAAAACAGTTAATAATAAAAAGCTGTAAAATTGCCATAGATCGATGCTTTCGTTATAACAACCACCCCTTTAGATCTTAAGTTCATTATTGCAATGGATATGGGTTAAGTTTACACAATGGGAGCTTGGCTAGTGTTGTTAGCTACAAACTCAAACTTGTAGCCAAGTGACACCAGCTATAGTGCATAGAAGTTAGGGTTAAGTAGCTGGAGTTAAACTAGTTATTTGTCAGGGTTACAAAGTGGCCTACCTACTCAACCATTTTTGCAACCTTTTTTGATTCCAGAAATTTGTATTCTCTTGAAACATATCTCCGATACTTGATCTCTATTCTTACGAATACTTTTACTACATCTACTAATCTGGGGATTGCCCTGACAATCGTCGCGCTTGGTAATTGGGGTATGACAACTTTGACTTGTGCATGTGTGCCATGTTCTACGTTGTGTGTGACTAACTGACTGAAGCTTAGTACATTTGCGTAAATCACACGAGCTTCAATCATATGGTGGCATTCATGGTAGTTAGAATTTGGCTGCAGAAATCAATCACAATACGGTGATTCTTATCACACGAACTTCCATACGTATCGTGTTTGTAGTTTACTTCGTTATGCCACATGCAGTTGTATTGCTATAAGCTCCCTATAATCGTGTGTTGTATAACCTAAGCAAATTATTATTTATCCAAAAAATCATCTTGGTTCTATTTAATTTCAATCACTTGCAGATGTCATCGGATGAAATGTTCTCGTTTCCAGTTACTGTAACGTTCGCCATTTGTATATCTATGATTTAGATACTTGATGGTCCCGATGGTGAGGAAAATTTCGAGATGGCGCGTGCTCGTATTTGGCAGCTAAGTTGCAAGTCTGGTTGGAATTTCGACCGACTTGTTGCTGATTTAACTCCATCTAGTCAGTGCGAGCTAACTTTTGAGATGATTCATATGGTGTCGTACGTTAAAAAAGGTTAGATTATTCTGATTTTTCCATTCCTTCAATCAGTTGCTCCGCCTGGAACGCTGAGTGTTTTTCCGTCACCATTTCAAAGTGCCGAGTCATGGGTCAGGGACAGATGGATTTTTCGAGAGGTATATTTGATAGCTAACTCACTTGTGCTCAGAACAACTCAGCTAAATCTACGGAACATACTTTACCACTTAAAAAGGGATTAAGGTTAGCACATGGTTGTTTGTCATATTTTGCTTCATTCTCTAGAGATTTGGACCACATATTTACATTTTACTGTCGCAAATATCGTAGCTTATTTTGAGGGCAACTATGTATGAAAGTAGTTGCACATTCACGAAAAAAACATTTGGGATTCCAACGAAAAAGGAAGTTGTGCCAAAAATTTTATGTAGGTTGTCTGGTTCGAACCACTTATGTCACAGGACATTTCCGTATTTTGAACACTATTTTTTCTCGCTGAAGAATTTCAAATAGAAAATTTTATTTACCAGTGCCACATCAGTTCATATTATATGGTTTCTAAAGCCTGTGACTATTTTGCATAAAATCTGATCCGTACACTGTCAAGTAGGTTATGTTGGGTGTCAGTTCATGATTTCGAGGTTCATCACAATTTAGGCTTGATATTTTCACGAAGCGAATTGTGGGTTCAGAACCGCGTTGTAACTCTGACCTTTTACAGGTAGGCTACAATCACGATGAGGGCAAAGATGGGTGAGATTGACATAGGCCGCTCTGGCTCTCATTATGTGTGAACTGGTCACATCAGTCACACCAACATTAGCGCTTACGCACTTACCCAAATGTAAGAACTTCTTGACTACCATCTGCTCACTACCGAAAGTAAGTGCAGGTTCAGTGTCCTGCTAGTCTTGTAAAAGTACTTCATATTCTGAATGTGTAAACTATATGTTATACCTACGGACACTAATTGCCAACTTTTTAGGTGTGGATTGCATGACTTAGGTATCATCACATAGTAAGACAATATCATCTGCACATTCGAGGTCGAAAAGCATTTATTCGAGTGACAGATCCACGTCACTATTATCTATATCCATCAGAGCTGCTTCCCAACGTCGTCGGTAGGAAAGTTGATGAGGAATAGTGAGATTAGGTAACCCTGCCTAACTCCACGGCTGGTACAGCAGATTGGAGAGAGGTGGTTGTTTCCTCTCTTTGTCTGAACCTTCAGGATGTTAATTATGTAGCGCATACACTATCAGTGTCCAGTTATATCAAATTTTTTGTTTAGCACGTAGAAAATAAATGAGCTAATGTGAGCTACAAGAACCATTTTATTATTTAGTATATTTCTTGTTTAAATTAGACGTTTTCATCACCTATCACATGTTGTATTTGTTTGTTGTTCAGAACCGCTGATCCTGTATCTCCCTCAAACCGTGCCTTTAATAATGAAGAACTGAAGAATAAGAAAGTAATGAAAGTTGACCAGGATTCGACTATGACAGTGTCGATACCTACCGTACACAGAGCCAATCGTTCACTCCCTGGATTTCAAACTATTTTACAATGTGGGAAGACACTTGACGATGATACTTTATTGGGGAAGACTGTAAGTAATTCTCGATTTCCATGCATAATTATGAGTATGTTACATGCTTCTGCCAACTGTAAATGGTTCACTGAAAGGCATCGATTATATAACCTTTCATTGTGTTCGTAATTGTGCATGTAGCAACTAGTCAAATATATTTGTAAAGGAAATAGTGTAAGGACTAATCTACGGGTCCGTCTATTTAACTACACCGCGACTTTTGTAAGAAAATGAGGTGGATTAATCGACACTGACCATGGAAGAGAGAAAAGTCTGACTGATATTGCCGGGGCACTAGATCAGCTGAATTGTTCGTCGAAGAATTCTGTCTGTCGTCCCATCGGCCACTCAAACGACTCTCTTCTGTGCCTAGACGTCCGACTTAGGCATCCAAGTCTCCGGCCAGCACTACAATATCTGTTGAAGACACTTTTTGTAGATCACTTACCTGGTAGTAGAACTCATCCTTAATTGCATCTGGTCTGCTGTTTGTCCGACCAAATTTCTACCACAGGTGACCTGCCATATGAATTGATAAATAAAGGAATATACCAATTGGGATAAAAGGGAATATACAAGTGATACGATGTAAAATATGAAGGAATGTTACCGAATAGTTGTAAGTACAATTTATGAGGGTGAAAATAGAAGTGAGATTGATTTATTTAGTTCTGACCATCATTTGATTTATGTGTGGTCTGAAGGACTGCCTGAATGCCTAAACCAAATCAAGTGATTTTTTTAGGACGATACTACCTAACCTTCAACTTAGAGGTTTGATCTACATGGCAGTGGGGTGACGTTAGGAGATGGCGTCCCATGGTAGCCGGTGACCAAAAGTCGGTTCAGACTCCGTTTCTTCCTCATTTCATGAAGTTTGTTTAAAAATTCATGTGACATATCATAAAAACTTGAATTCAACCATCTGTTGTGACCTTATACATTTGATAATGTATATTGACGATAATCGTCTATCATTTAATACAAACACGTTAAACATTGAACAGTGCAACTCCAGGTTCTACGTTGCGTAGTTGAAATTTTTGATTCGTAATTACGTCAAGTTGGCACTGATTTACTCAAATTACACTGAAACTAAAGTGTTCTAACATTAGAAACCTCATTCATTAAATGCGCACTCACCTTACATGACTCAAAATGTAAGTCATTATTTTGGCTTATTGTCTAGGTCTTTTTTCCTCCATCCATCTTTTAACAAGTCGACTATTTACGGCTCATGACTAAAAGACATTTGATAAAAAATGCCGAGAGTGGGGAGAGTCCTCTCTCCCTCTCAAAATGCTCTCATATGGCCACACGTATATAGCCTCTGCCAGGGAAGTCCTACTCACTTCCTTCTCGTGGCAGGGGTGTTGTTTACGAAAAATGAATGTTCGGCTCTTTAACCGGGTTGGTGGACATGGAGAGTCCACCCAGGGGACTTGGAAAACCCTGATTCCAAACCAATGGTGCACATGAGCTCCAGTATCCTGAGGGAACAAATGGCGTTCGAACCAATTGTTGGTCACCGGTTACCATGGGACTGCATCTCCTTACGATGTTCCACTGCCTTGTGGGTCAGACCTTTAGGCCAAAGGCTTGGGGTGTGACCCTCTAAGAAAACCAAATGCTTCGGTTTGGGCACCCGGGCAGTATCACAGCCCTCACACTTATCAAATGAGATTTGTGTGGCGCATATGTATTTGGTTCTTTTTTGTACCACTGTTTATGTGTTCAAATAAATAAATATGGCATAGCATAAGGAAAGACTAGTTCTTGGTGATCTCTTTATTTCATACACATTTCCCTTTATCGTTTTGAAAAGAACAAGAACAAAGATTCTAGCAGAATAACATGAATTCATTTTATTTCGTAGGTTCTCCTTAGCTGCTTACAACCTGTGGTATTTAAAAAGATAATAATTACATAATGGGTTTAAATTGCTTACATGAGAGGGTTTATATTGAAAAAATATTCGTAAAGTATGACTTAGGTGTAAATGAAATTAATAGGCTGAATATTGTAAACATATACCTGATGTGAAAGAATATTCTAGAGCAATTTAAACCCATTATTATCTTTTTAAATACCACAGGTTGTGAGCAGCTGACGAGAACCTACGAAACAAAATGAATTCATGTTATTCTGCTAGAATCTTTGTTCTTGATCTCTTTATTGTCATCTTCAGTGATGTTAGTTTCGTTCTTATTAGCTTCGGTAACTTGACCTGACTGACTAATTATATGATGGTTATGTAGCAAAAGCATGTTCGGGCACTTTTGAAGTGTTCGAATTCTCTGTGGCTTGTACATATGTGAAATAACAAAAGGTAGTTGTTTGTTTTAATTTTTTCCGTATTAATTTTGTTTATCGAATTGACATCTGTTGTTTCTCATCTTATTTTAGGACACAGAAACGTCTTATGAATATCCTAGCTTATCGCTAATTCATTCGTCGAATTCACAGCAAGAAACCTTGCATTATCCGTCTGACTCACCTCCTTATATGCTTGTCCAGAGATCAAGAGAATCACTGGAGAAGAATTATAAGTCGTCTTCAAAACAGATTTCTACTAGAGGTCCTCTTAAAAGTGATAGTGGCTCCAAACGAAATAATAGTGGACATTTTCTTATGGATAGTGAAAAAAGCCGAAACCTGGTAACAACGTTTATTATGTCAGAAACTTTATGGTGTATAAACTTTATATGCTTTATGTTTTAACGATTTGATATATAGTTGTTAAATAGGTGATTTAATCTACAAATAATCACATTGGTTTATGTTGGCGTATTTGGATTAATTTTATTGGACAAGCTCCTCGACTCTCCATGAGGTATAAATTTTGTAGTGGCTCCGTACACGCGTACGTGAATTTATTAGTATGGATAATAGTAATCAGACAGGATGTTTCAAATTAATTATAAGAGCGATTAAACACAACATTAGTACACCAGCACATAAACTTCTGAACATGTTAATTTATATGATTAGATTAATCCTATTTATGTATCACATGGTTCTAATAACATTTACCCTCTCACTACAATATACAAAGTTATCAAAATGGATGTCGTAAAATTATTTTTTTCGCTATCATTACAATAACTCGAATTACTATAGTGACTTAAGAAGAATTTAAGGATAGATATAGATATGCTAGAAGACTGCAACTGAGACAAATCAGAATTCGAAACACCCCCAGTAAAACCCGTACGAGCAGCCTAGAGTCCTGATTGGTCCTGCTTCCTGCCTAACCCAGCCAGTTAAGTCCAGAACGTCAATCTGAGCCTCTGCGATATGCATCATTATATTTCAAAACATACTGAGTTTATATACTAATCAAACAAACCACAACGGACCATAAAATAGAAAACAACATTTGTACAAGATTTGGCCAAAAATGGCTGTGAATGTGGGAGGCAGTGATTAATAGAAAGGGCATAATTCAAGAATGGTAAAACGTATAATAATAGTTCATAGGTTAAAATAAAGCTTATTATAAGAGGAATATGAATATGAATAGTTTAACTGTTTAACAATTATACGTTAAAAATATACGTTTAGTATTAGTCCATAAATAGATCCCAAAAGTTACTATTCATTCTGCTTATCGTGACATAACAATAAGAAAAGTGATTTCTTAAGGTGGTGTCTATTATTATTTAAGATTTCTATGGTTTACCATCTAATATTTCCTTTGATTTGACTAGACATTAATTCTCAAATTCTTATTCTTTCTTAGATAAACTCAGAAAACACCGATATCGGTCAGTCGAAATCAAATATGCTGAATATATTTTATGATCCGTTGGGATTAGAAACAACTAATTGTGATGACAGTGGTTATCCGGTAGTTGGCAGTATTAAAAAGATGTCTAATCCTTCACATAGTTTTCATCCATCTGATGGCAAACACAATCTGCTTGAATCTAAAGACAATGCTCTAAATGTTATTAGCACAAAAATGAATGTTTGTATGGATGATACGTTTTTATTGGAATTTTTAGACAGAAATTTGACTGGAACTGATTCCAAAACTAATGTCGATTTCGCCGAACGATGTGGTTTAAATTCTCCAACAGCCTTTGTCGAAGATATGATTAAAAAAGCACAGAAAACTTTAAATCATCAGTATAAATGCTAACAGTTTTTTAATTAACTTTCCATTCCGTTTTTTCTGTATTAATCTCAACTGCATTGATATACCATAGAACAGTCCGACGTTTTACTGCGGGTGTTTCGAATTCTGATTTGTCTTAGTTGTAATCTTCTAGCATATCTATATCTATCCTTAAATTTTCCTTAAGTCACTATAGTAATTCGAGTTACGACATCCATTTTGATAACTGTATATTTTAATGAGAGGTTAAATGTTATTAAAACCATGTGATACATAAATAGGGTTAATCTAAATTATAAATTAAGATGTTAAGAAATTTATGTGCTGGTGTAGTTAGTGAATTCTACTAAATGGGAAGCTGAAATTTTGAATTAAGAACATGCGATGATTAGGCTAACTAAAGTTTATTTGATTTAAATATTAGGCACAAAACAATGTAAGTTGGTTGCTCATTTAGAGGAAAAGAAATTGGAGTATATTGACTCTTATGCTGAAATAAAGTTTTGTTATCGACAAATAGGCATTTCACATGAATAGTGAGTCGAATCATAAAATAAAACCAAAGATGAGAATTGTGTATTTTAAAGATTTGTTTAAGAAAGTGCAAAAAAACCACTCAAATGTTGTAGCATCCCAAAATATGTTTAGGGTTTCGAATATGTAATTCATAATGGTTTTACCATGCATCGCATTTTGTAACAGGATTCATTGGTGAACCAACTGGACAACCATATGCACGTGCGAATCTTCTACTATTGACCAACGCCCCGATCACTCTTTCAAGGTAGAGAAAACAAAATTATTTTGTTAGTTTGTAGAGCTGTAAACGAAATACACAGATACTGTAAAGTTTGCTAACTGAAACTACTGTTTTCTGATAAAGATTGTGAAAGGTTAATCAGATTCAAGGTAAAGTAGGCGACTTTCAGTGCAGTTCTAGACCATCGGAATTCATTAATTTTTTGAGTTTTTATAGCCGTTTGTATTATCTGACAAAAAACAGTATTCAAGCATAATAGTGTTCATTCTCGTTACTGAATACTTGTAATTCTTCGTTATATACTGCAACACCTGCTATGAAAACTTCAGTTTCTGTCAACAAATATTTCAAGTCATAAATTTTAGTATAACATATGTAATTAAGATCGTTATAAATTCTTACCTAAACTTTTCCAAGACATGAGGTATAACTACTGCACTTTGTATAAGTATTTTCTCACCGTGATGTCCACACATAGTCTTGAAAATGAGATAATAAAAACAGTTGGAAAGTACATTACCAGTTGTTTGGTGATAAAACAAGACATGATTATATTTAGGCTGACATTGCACTTATTATACATTACTTGAAGTATACATCACTCCGTCTGGAGCCAATCTTGGGCTACTGCCGATCCCAAGCCCGGAAAAAAGAAGAGAGTTGGGCATGAGGTTAGCGGCACAATCACGTAAAAATCTAACTCGCTAAAAAAACGCTAACCAGAAAAAATAATTCAAATCATTTAAACTCTGCCCTGGAAGGTCTTCATTTAGAAGAGTTATGACGCCTCATGGTGAAAGACGAGTTCCTTCAGAACTTACGAATTTGATGGCCCTTCTAACAACCAGAGCAACCACTAACTTAGGTCCATGGAATATTCGTACAATGTGGGAGACCGGAAATGAAAAGGTACAACCTGGAAGTGCTTCGAATCAGTGAAACACATTGGACGCAGGTTGGACAACAAAGACTAACTTCAGGAGCACTGCTCTTATACTCCGACCATGAAGAAGAGAATGCTCCACACAGACAAGGAGTTGCACTGATGCTATCCAAACAAGCACGGAAGGTACTTATAGGATAGGAATCTCACGGACCAATGATCATCAAAGCCTCCTTCAAGACAATGAATTTCATGCAATGCTATGCGCCTACCAACGACTACAATGAAGATGTTAAAGATCAGTTCTGCGATAGGCTGCAGTCCATCGTGGAGAAATGCACAACAAAGGACTTGGCCATTCTGATGGGAGACCGAAATGCCAAGGCTCGGACGGACAACACTGGACATGAAGACATCATCGAACAACATGAACTAGGAGAGAGGAACGAAACCCCTGTGCCTTCAGTAAACTGGTCATAGGTGGCACCATATGCCCACATAAACGCATACACAAAGCCACATGACTTTCACCGAATCACACTACACAGAACCGAATCAATCATACCTGCATCGACAAAAAGTTCAGGAGAACGAATGAGGATGTGAAAACCAGGATAGGAGCTGATATAGCCTCAGATAATCACTTGCTGGTCAACAAGTCGAAACCGAAACTCCAGAAGCACTGGACAACATCAGTAATTTTTAATACGCCTTTTCTTCGGGATACAGACAAACCGAGCAAATTCAAGATAGCCCTCAGCAATGGGTTCTAGGTCTTCCACGATCTACTCGGAGGAGATGAAACTACCGTGAATGAGAACTCCATAGGGGTGAGAGAGGTAATCACATTTTACGTGCCATGAGGCTCTGGGCCACAAGAAGCACTATCGCAAGCAATGGATCACTATTGATACAATGCGTAAGATTTATGAAAGGAGGAACAAGAATGCAGCAATCAGTATCAGCCGAATAAGAGCAGAGAAAGCCAAGACAGGCTGAATATACAGAGGCAGACAATCAGATGAAGAGGAGCATCAGAACCAACAGACGTAAAAATGTAGAGGATCTAGCAATGATGGCGGAAAAGGCTGCAGTAATTTCTAATATGGCCTTTCTTCGGGATACGGACAAACCGAACAAATTCAAGGTAGCCCACAGCAACGGGTTCTAGGTCTTTCATGATCTACTCAAACAACACCATAGTGTGAATTTTCAATACAATTATCAAGACAGTTCTGCTGTATGGGGCGGGAACTTGGAGAACTACGAATGCCATCATCCAGAAGATACAAGTGTTTATTAACAGTTGTTTAGGCAAAACGCTTCGGATCTGTTGGTCAGATATTATCAGCAACAATCTACTGTGGGAGAGAACAAGCCAGATTCCAGCGGAGAAAGAATTCAGGAAGAAGCGCTGGAAGTAAATAGGGTACACATTGAGGAAAGCAACCCAGTACGTCACGAGGCAAGCCCCCACATGGAATCCTCAAGGCCAAAGGAGAAGAGGAAGACCAAGGAACACATCAGGCTGAGAAATGGAGACAGACATGAAAAGACTAAACAACAATTGGATAGAATTAGAAACGAAGGTGCGGGACCGAGTGGATATGAGAATGCTGATAGGCAGCCTATAAGTTTGTGTGAACTGATAGTTTTCATTTTGATGATTTATTTTATTGTCTTAGTTTTAATCTTCACTACTTTTTCAGCCCCTTCAGATAATGTGAAAATATTATTGAGTAGACAGTAAATTCGAATAATAATTTTCGGTTGAATTTCAGGAATGGATGGTGTTAATTCTATCGAAGCGTCCAAGTAACCCCGATTGATATACGCGCAAAATCGATGTCCCAAAACAACGATTTGTCTACAAAAAGCGGTTCTCAACTTGTGAGGTGTCTAGGCGTTTAAACGCGTCGCTCAATAATGAAAATAGCAAAGGCTTCGATAGTCAAATACAGCCGATAGCTGTATCTAAATTTGATAACAGTTTATGAACAACCGAAACTCGAACCAAGAGCAAACAATATGGAAACTGTTGCATTCAAACAAATGCACAAAACTGTGGATAACCGTTACAGTAATTAAATTACAGTGATTATAATGATAAATACAATTATAAATAAAATAAACGTTAAAGATATATGTGAACATTCCAGAATGTTACAGTACAACTTGAGTTACAATGTAAGTGTGAAAATTGTTGGGCATACAGCTGCCTACTGAATTTAAATAAGTAGTATAAAACAGCATACAAAAGAGTAGAGAAGGAACATGTAGGAACAATGTAAGACAAACTGAACAGGTGGTATGATGATTTTTACGAAAGTGTTGATGTATGCAACATTCACATCCAAGTTCAAGGGGAACAAAGAATGTAGGATGAGTGTTTTAGATAAAGATGATAAATACCATTGAATATAACATTGAGAAATGCACCATAGGTATTCTTATGAATAACAGCAATTCGAATCTTCGACTTACTTGTGCAAACGAGAGGAAGAACAGTCGATCAGATTCAAGTGAATCATGGTGATCTTGGCTAACATTGTTCGAGAACGTCTTCAACAAACGCTTGTATGTCTGAATAAAGAATGTTTTGTTGCGTTAAATTTACTGTGATTGAGTTAGTTTTTAAAATCAACGGTCATAATACATAGTAGTAAAACACCATTTATAGTGAATAGGTGGTGTGTTTGTGAAACGCTTTTTGCGACGTGTTATCATAACATAGTTTCTATCATGAACGATCAAAATAAACCTATGCACATTGTGCTGTATTTCATAGTTTTCATGAATCACGAACGAGAAATCGAGTAACAGAGTTATGTACCTAATTTAACCACCGAAAGAATCATTAACCAAGCTATTGAGTTTTCTGCTCATTGAATTGATTTCACAGAGATATTCCAAGTATTCATTATATGTGAAAATTATATTTGAAATATTCTCAGCGATTGAAATATAACCAATTCCAACGTTTCGTCCAGCTAACTTGTCTGGACTTCTTCAGGGTAATAATCAAAATCAAAACTATCTAAGAAATATATAGCTTTTAACAATCAGGATTATACTGTGTTAAACCAATCATATTTGGGTGTTGATTTTTTGTAAAATAGGATAAAATGAGTCAGTTGACTACAAATCATGTGATGAATTCAACTACATGGAAATACTTAACTGAGTAACAAATCGTATGTGTGTGAGTGTGTATGTATGTATGTATGTGTGAGAGATTGATATGAAGGAATAAATAAAGTTCAAGTTCAAGGATGAAAAAATTTGATAATGAAAGATCGATGTGCATGTCAAAACATAAATTGTATTGTTTAGAAACTCATTCAGTTCTTTCAATAATAATAACGGTGCATGTGATATTAAAAACAGGTTTAAACAAGAGATAGGTTCCAAATTTACTTGTCAAACGAAATTTGCCAGGTATTTGCCATTTGAATACCATCTTTTCGGTTCAGGCTGTTCTTGTTCACCCATATATGCAGAGCTTCTGCTGTCAATCTTTCTTTATGGGTGTTAAAACCTTTCTGAAGTATTTTGGTCCCTTCAAAATTAATCTTGTGTCCTGTTTCTAACGCATGTAACGCTATCGCTGACTTATTTTCAAGTTTCTTTAAATCTACCGAGGATTTTGGAACATTTTTCAAGCATTGTTTGTGTTCCTTCAATCTTACATTTAATTGCCTGGATGTTTCTCCAACATAGGTAGCATTACAGTCATGACAGTGAATCTCATACACAATGTTCTGTTGTTCTTCCTTTGCTAACTTGTCCTTAACTTTCACGAATGTCGATCTTAATGTGTTATTTGCTCTAAAATACACTCTTGTAGCGGTAACTAAATCCCTAAAATAAATAGCTCTGTAAGTTTTCGACATTGGATGCTGACCATATGTTTTAGTGGACTCATCTAGCTGAAGGCGCTCGGTCAGGCATCTGTACCAGATCACGTGTGGTAACGCCGTGCTCAACATCAACCGCAATCGCTAGCCAGATTAGATCAGAGAATTCCGATATATTGGTCATCGCCAAATATACTCTTCCGATCTCCTCGACTCTGTCTTTTGATTTCTCTGGGCGGGAACGAAATATATTAGAAGGTGTTACTGGTAGAAGCGTTGTCAAACACTGAATACCTGTGACATCATCATTGGTGAGACCGTCGTGATCTGGTACACCTAATTGCAACTGTGAGTCTGTTCCTTTTTGGGATTTTTATATATCATTGCCTTATTTTTTTATTTTTTTAAACATTGTGATTTTTTTTTCGTGTTTTTTCCTGGATATATATATTTTCCCCTCGTTCATTATCGTACTACATACTTCATCATGACTGAACAGACACCTAAAGTACTCAAGCTTAAGACTTTGTCCCCGCCTTCGTTTCAACTGATGCCTTTCTGGCCCGACAACATCGAAGCCTGGTTTTGCTACGCAGAAGCCGACTTTTCCGAACACGGCGTGATCGACACACGTGCACAATTCCTCGCAGTAGTCAAGGCACTACCGCGCGAATTCAACAGGTACGTAACACCTAGTATGTTTACTAGTGATGTTTCCGATCCTTACGAAATCTTAAAACGCTCGATTCTTAAACGAGGAGACCTAACCGATCGACAAAGGTTAGATCAACTCTTCAACAATATCGA